CAAACCATTCTATGATTCTATGATGAAATGCTTCAGTTAGGAGCTTACGTCACCCTAAACTCAACCTAAATGAGAGAAACAATCACCTTCAAGATGACTGAATTTAAGCACGTAAAGTTTCATGCAATGAATATAAGCAACATATGTCATAAATAAAAAAAAAGAACAAGAAGCTAGCCAAGCAGCACACTACACACCTATGATCAAAGTCTGTGTCTCTGTGCTAGGGTGCTAAATCTCCCACATGTATGTAAGAAAACTTAAAAGGTACAATTTGAGGTACTTCTCATTTGGTAAAGGCATACCTTGTTGTCTTCCCAATAAAGAGCAAAACATTCATCCCCTGGCCTCCAACTTTTTCCATACTCCATGTGAATCGATGGTTCTAATATTTTCTCTGGTTTGATGGGCCCAGATCTCCTTTTGGGACCGGTGTTGTAATACATCATTTTATCATCAAAAGATGGGATCGTAGTGGGTCCTGATGATTTGATAGGTCCTACTCGTCTTCCTTTCTGATGATGCTCAGTATCTCCATTTGGTACAGCATTAAAATTATCAGTTCTACCAGGATTTTGGTAATCATTATTAACACCAAAATGTTGCTCACTTTTTACCATAAAGGCTTCACTAGTTATTGTTCGTGCCTTCCTATCACAATAATTTTCAGAATTGTGTATTTGATTCTCCCTTTTCCCACGTTTCTGGTTATTGTTGTCTGTAGTATCTTGAGCAGCAGAGTTCTCCTTGAATTCTGTGAGAGACGCTGCTTTTCCTGCTCTGTTTTGCATATTGTTATCCCTTTTTTTGAAAGTAATATCACTTTGGTGAGTGGCTATGGGATAACCCAAATCCTTTGGCCTATCATTTCTAGGATAATGTCTGTCACTTTTACTTTTTTCATCTGTCCAGTGTTCTAAAGAGCTGTGCCTTTCAGGACCTCTGTTTCTTGGTAACCCACCACTTTCCAAAGCCTGCCTTGAATTTTGAACATCTCTCTGAAAACGAGGGGGTTTCTCATTCCTTGGTTGTCTCATGTCATTGCGAGAAATGTGTCTTGAATGATTCTCTTTGATGCCATTCTGTTCTGTATTCATAACTTTGTGCTGTACTTGATGTGATGGCTGAAATTGCAATTTTGGTTCTACAAAGAAAAAAAATATTTCAGTTATTAACATATTTCACACAAACATTTTAGAAATAGTGCTTCAGACTGTAACTGATAAAGCAACAGAATTATTTAGAAAAGTATGCAGTATTTACCTTTGATACAGAAATGGAATGGTACACAGATAATTTAGCAGAGACATTTGAACTGTAATTCCTAGTTATTGGAAAACATACACTACTCTGGCCTGTACTTAGAACAAAACCACCTACCAGTATGAGAAAAGTCGGACATAAATTTCCAGGAGGTTACTCATTTCTCATTATGGAAATCAATAACTCACTTGAACAACAGTCATTTAACACAGAAAAATAGGATTCCAACATGGACAAAGCAAGAGGGAGGAAAATTAGCAGAAAAAAGGAATACTTTTAATTTGAATTGAAATGTTCTGTAAAAATAACTTAATAGCTATTCAGCATAAAAGACAAAGGTAAGAAATAGAAATGACTACGAAACACAGCTGACAAACCATAGATAACGGTAAGAGTAACAAAGTCCAGAACTCTGGAGACCCTGATCAATGAGCCATAACAGGAACCGCTCAAGCATTACCTTCAAGAGATTCAACTAGAACTCTAACTGATGAGAAGAAAAAGAAGATTATCAGGGATCTCATGAGAAAGAGCAAACTTGCTATGGGATGCTGAGGAAGAGATGAATTGTGGGGATCTGTGAAACTTTTTATAGAATTACATTTATTTTTTTTATGCAAACATGGAATTTTTAGTGGGATGTTTAAGTGAAGAGCCAAAGGAGGGGAAAGATCAAGATGAATCCAGAAGGAATAAGCATGAGAGAATAAAAAATGAATGAGATTAAACAGGACAGTTGCAAGTAAGCAGGTTCGTCGTCAATACACTTGCCAGGCCAACTCCTGCACGTGATCACTGTAGCCTGTCTCAAGAGCTTTGTCAAGTTACATAAATATCAGTACCATCCTTCTAAAATGTATTAACACTGTGGAACTTGAGTTCATGTTTCTGTTGAAACAAAATAAATACAAGCTGAGGAGGATGATGATAATAATAAAGAAGTAGCAAAAAAAAAAAAAAAAATAATTCCAAAACATTTTGCCATTGCATTCACTACAAACTTTAATTTACAGGATTAAAAGACTGAAACAAAAATTGATAATTTTTTAATTACTCTTTAAATGTATGAAATTTACTGTATTTTTCTCTCACAAAGACAAGTTACTGACAAAATAAAAATACCAAAGTCCCTAACATATGTCACCAATGCTAACATAATACTACAACAAAAAAAGTTTGATTTTCGTTATATTCACAATTAACACTGACTGAAGTTCAATTTTTAGAAGTAAAGTTGCATAATAAACATGACTATGTCACAATTTGGATCTCTTACTGTCAATTGGGCACCGTGTTTGTTGAAAACACAGCTACTAAATGGTAAATTCCAAAGGTTACAAATTCCCTTTAACTCCAAAAAGGCAGACTCTTTTTTTTTCTCCCATGTTCCCTTAACCCCTAGATATTCAAATAAATTGTGTGACCAAAAAAATGAAACAAATAATTTTTAATTATATTCTATTTCATTACCAACATATTTCAAACCTTTAACTTATTTTGGGAATATATAAAGCATAATAGACTAAAACAAAAAAAAGACCACTGAAATTAGACAAGATACGCTAGCCCCAAATTGTCCAAAGAATAGGTTACCATATAAAAACAAAAGAAAAACCCCCACACATCACACATCCCAGTTTACCTCAAGCATCAACAGTTAAGTATGAGAATAGAAATTCAAATCTGAAAGCACAGAAATGCCCTGTCCCTTTGCAGATCTCTGGGGCTGGGTCCCTAAGAGTTTGGGTGTGTAGCTTTCTGCTTGTGATAAATGTTCACTTTCCACTAAAATCATAAATCTTCTGAGGGACATTTGGGTGAAAAGTTAGTATGAGACAGTAAGAAAACCTCTCCAGAAGACAATTGTTTGCAATCCCTCCTATAGGGTCAGTACCTCTTTTGTCACTTATCTCTTGCACATAGCACTGGCAGCAGAGAGCATAATGGTAACTGCAGCTAAATTATGTGAGATGCTCAGATGCAGAGTGAGTGGAGGCAAGAGTCCACATGATACTGATGTTATAGAGCATCACTCAAACCACTACAAGAGTATGGTCTGTAGTTACGGGATGCACATTTGAAAACGAAAACTGACAAACGAGTTTGTTGACAAAAGAGAGAAAAGCAGTCTGGGAAAAAAGTTTTTGACGAGAGCCTAGAAAAACTCAATCCACAAAGCTAATGGATAAAATACAGGTCAATTGTGTCTTATAAATAGCTACCAGGAAGGCAAATTTTGATAGCTCTCTATATGGCAAGAAAGGTATAATATTATACAGCAGTTAGAAGCTGAGTATAGAAAATGCAGATTAGAAATGAAAAATTCTTTTTTTTAAAATGCTGATCATTAATTGCTGAAACAATTAACCTTGGAGTTGAATTAATTCACTATCTTTAAATCAAAACTGCATGTTTAAATTTGTACTTCAGTCAAAATCTAACTGTTGGAGCAAGAAATACAGACTATAGACTATTACTTTCTCCCTTCTCCTTAGGTGGTCTTATTAACAGGCTATACATGCTACCTCTCACTTGCTTTTTCTGTGATCCCATTAATGTTGTATTTTGTTAAACTGAACCTCCTGTCTAACAGGAAGAGCATGAAATGTCCACTCCACGTACAGTCTGTCTCTTAAGAGGACTGAAGAGGTATTTCTGCACAATCCTAAACTGAAAGGGTTTTGGCCTTCTACGTCCTGGGTCAATGCTCTAACCAAAAACATTGTTATGTTTCTCACCACCTACCCCATGAATAACAAACAAATTAATAATTACTTAAAAGTTGATCTTTGCTTGAGTCTTTCAAAAACACAGACGTCTGCCAAAGCTTTTGTGGCTTTGGATCCCGAGCAGATGGAAGCACCAGCGTATTCTCAGTCCCAAAGAACCAAACAGGGAGAAAATATCTGAAACATGCCTGGCTCTCAGCATTTTGTCCATTATTCTTTAATTCTATACTCAGAGCTCTTGGCACTGTTTTGTTCTCCCTGATAATCCTTGTGTTTACTTATTTAAGCTGGCAAAGATGAATGAATTGTTCCTCATAACAAAAGAAAAATAAAAAGATTAATGGAAACATCTTTTGTGTTCAGTAGCAGAAGCAATCCAAGTGCAAGCAAAGGCAGCAAGTTGACAGAAATTTTGTCTATTTTTGTTATCTCTCACAGTCAGCAGGTTTCTCTTGCCAACCAAAACTCAAACTACTTAATTTCAACACAGAAATACTTTCATAGGCATCATCAACTATTCACAGTTTAAAATAAATAAATAAATATATAGTATAAAACTATGGGTTTGTTTTAATTCTTTGCATTTCATTTAAATAGAGTATGTTTACTATATGCTATGTTTTACAATTAAAGAACTAGCATATCATGGAGTCAATTATTTAATACTTTCGACAGCTGTAATTAACTTAAAACAGTATTTCATTAACTCTGAAAAAAGGAGGTGAAATGTAAAAAAACCTCACAAGACACCACTTACAGGGCAGAAGACTAGCACCTTACTTTCTTATAACTAATTCGTACTTCTTTTTAAATAAAAACAAACACACACTAAAAAGCCTTAATGTGCTGTCTTATCTCTAAAAAGGAACAGAAGTACCTCCTAAACAAAATGCAAAGGTATTTCAATTCATAAATGTTTTTCTCCTTGGTCTAAATCCAACTATGAAAAGGTACCAAATCAAAGATAATAAATTAAACAACTGTTCTGCAGTTCCTGTTCACAAACCAAATCACCTAGCCTGGTTACTGCAAATCCAGAAGTGAATTTAGAAATCTTCAACAGTACTGAGGTTTAGGGTGCAATCAGAAACACTAGATAAGAAAAACAAGGAGGGATGCACAGAGAAAAGCAAATCAATCCTCCGTGTACTTGAAAAGAAACAATTCTTTTTTTCAGGCACTCTCTCCCGAGATCACATAAGCAATTTTTGAAGAAAATGTGGTGTAGCAGAGAATTAGAAAATATTTACCTCTGTTCAGCAAAACTGCCTTTTGCTTTCCTTCTACATAGACTTTCAGTCATTTGGAAGAAATTACAATCTATCTGAAGTGTATAGAAGCCTAATGCTTGCAATAATGATAAATATGGCCATTCCTGGTAATCATATGCTCCTGATCATATGCTCCTGATCATACAGATTGGCATAATAGTAGGGTTGTGCTCATTTATTCAAACCCACTATCCCTACACAAAGGCCATCTCTCTGAATATCTAAAAAACAAACTGAGATTTTAGAGACCATATGGGACAGCAAGGGGTCAGAAATACTACAGAACAATCAATCTTCTTCTATATTCAGTGGAGGCTGTACTACGCTACATATAAATGCGGAAAAACCTGACTCCCTGGGCCTCCTTAGTACAGTTACTGTGCAGAGACATCAATGAAGAGACCTTATTCTTGGCTATACAACATTACATATTTGAGTTGTTTCTAGCAGTCTCCCTGATGTGCCTTTCATTTCTGACCACTACTTTTCTAATACTAAGAGAGAAAGAACTATTTGTCTCTACTGCTAACTACTGACAGGATCTAATGAAATTAAAAAGGTGCTAGTAATATATGTCCTCTTTTCTGCAAATGCTTGGATGCAGACTTCATGACCAAAGAGTTCACGCTGGTAAGTATAATCACTGAAGATATATCATCACTCTGCAAACACTTTTAACACTCATGTCATCTCAGTTTGCATGGAACTTAAGACAACTAATAATTAAGAATTTAAAGGAGATTATTTTCAATTGCAGAGTATAAAAATGGCAGAAAAATAACACTTCCAATAAATGATTTTTAAGATGTGTTTGCATTCATCAGACTGCACAGGTTCTCTCAAACTTGGCAAAGAAAGAAAAGCACTTTTAAAGAGACAGA